TGATTCAAGATACATAAAATGCTTGACGTCAAGACGAATTTTGTGTTGATTAAGTGATTAAGATACTTTAGATTTGTATTTTGAATTTCTCACACGTTCAGTTCAAAACAAAATCGATGTTAATCAATGGTTGCAGCTAGAACTGCTGCTATGATGTACTTTGATTTCACTACCACTTGCTTAATAAATCCTTTCTGAAAGGCTTTACTATTAAAGTTATATATAATTGCGAAATCAGGTAATAAGAACATAACAAAAAAATATAAAAGAAAATTTGTGTCTTTATCATTAATTTTATTGGAAAAATTATAGGAACAAAAATTATGGAATACATAATTTTATATCTTAAAATATACCCAAAATTTTTCTTTGAGATTGGTTTTAATGAAGTTTTGGATATATAAATAAATTCCCACTTTACAGCTTGAATTTTAAAATGATAACACACCTATCTTTTCAACCGGGTTATTAAGGCATTCGTTCTAATGCCTTAATGTAGTAAAGAGTCTATTACAAGCTATTAAAAGGGCATAAAAACAGAGATATTATTAAAATTATTTTTTATACTGAACTTTATTTATATATTAAGTTGCAGAAAATTTAATTCACAATAATTTAATTTCAAATTAAAAATAATAGATTTTGTATTGCGAGCATGACATGACTAAATAAAATGTATATAAAAAAGTTTGTAATTATATATTTATAAAACAATTACAAAAAAAAAGATTATAATAGATATTAAGTACTGATATTGTAATATATGATTTTTCCAATCTAGTTTTCAGTATTATTTTCCATTAACTACATTATTTTGTGCTTTTCTCTCTATGAAAAACAGGATGTATTACATATATATTTGGAACCTATTTCATTGAACTCTATACTTTACTGTTATAGAAACCTATTTCACATATTTTTTTTAAGTCTTTTAACATTTATTAAATTTGTTTCAATTTTATAAATAATTTTCTAAAGATAATATGGTATATTGTCGACAATAATTTCCTTCTACCTTCTATTGATGTTAATGCTATTGCTATTCTACCATTGTTGTTATATATGGTTACGTCTATGGGCTGGTATGAAAGTAATTTAACACACTATGAGCGGGGCAGGTATTTGTACTCGTTGCGAGGATTGTCACTTATAAGCGGGACAGGTATTAGTACCCGTTTAATATAAGTAATTTTAAGTGATACAAGGGAAAAATAATGTTGTATCAAATATATGACTACGTCTCATATATAGGACTACATTTATTGTGAAATAAATTTATTAAATTTTATGTGACCTTATCTATTAAGATATTATTAAAATGAGAAGTAATTGCACTTCATAGTGCTATATTTCAACGTAATTAATTAATAATTATTTTAGAATAGTTTTTATTTTTAGTAGATCATTTTTAAAGAAACTTTTATTTAAGATATGAAGGTGTTGTGATACTAATTAATTAATATGCCAACATTAATTAATATGACAACATTTTAGAAATTTTCATATCTGGAAGTTCCTACAGGATTAAAATTGCAAGTTCTTTCATACATTGATAAAGTATTGATCTATCTCTAAGCAGTTGTGTGTATATAGTTTTACTTCGTAAGTTCTTTTTTACCTTCCGCTCTGGATCTCACAATGAGATATCACTAAAAAAGTTGGATTCCTTAAGATAATTATATAGAGGGTAATAATGTACTGAGCAAAATTTGGTAGTAGAGTGGCCGGTAGTCTTCTATGATGGCTATTTTGTTCTGTTTTCTAGCACCTCCCAGTTGATAAACATGAGGTCATATAGGCCATGAAGTTTAATAATTGCTATATATATATAAAATTTAATATTAGACTAGACTAGACTCTTTGCTGAACACTCTATAGAGTTGTTTGTATGTACACCTATATTAACTTTTGTATTAGTTTCTATTAATTCCCTTTATTATTGAGAATGTTATTTGGAAGATTTTTACAGATATGCTGTGAATGAAATTTATTTTAATTTAATTAATTCTATTGCAAATATAAAATAATAGAAAAAGCAAGTACACGAGTACTTTGCTGTGTCCCAGGATTTTCCTTAATCAGATTTTTAATTTGAATAAATTTAATTCATTTTATTTAAGTTTGGCACCAATTTTCAATATTTGATTTAATTACTACTTTTTCATTAATGACATTTTGATTAAATAACGATTTGTTGAAATGTTTATGTATGTCCACTTGTTATGTATCTAAATGGGGATTTCGAACAATATTTGGTTTCGTTACTGATAAAAGTACTAGAGCTATTTATTAATGTATAATGGAGTTGATCAGTTTTTTTTAGTTATCTATGTAAATATATATATGTTGTTTCTTAATATTTTTAGTCTTTTTTCTGTAAACTCTAATATATGTATGTTTTTGTGTACATATGATAATATAATTTCCTCATCAAGTGTCTCTATAAAGCATCGGTATCAATTTAAAGTAGTATATAAGTGTTCAGTGTCTTCTAGAGTTTGGGAAATAGAAAAAAATTGCGGTATGAGTGAGTTATGACATGAACTGTTAAATAACATAATTAACAATGTTAAATATGACCGATGTGATATTCCCATTTCTTTTCAACATAATACTATTTTTCCTATAGCTTCACTCTTCAGTGATAATTCTTTCATTAGCAAGCACAGTCTGCTGTGTTACAGTTCAGGAATGTGTTAGAAATTCAAAACCCTGTATCATCTTCAATAATTTCTCGAAGTTTTGAAAGCCTTTGAAAGATATAGCGTGTTTGTTAAATATTATAATTACCAATAGTCTATTTTAGTCTAGTCTAAGTTATGACTACTTCAAGTATCGCTTTATCATTTAAAATTTTTGCAAAGCTATGTAATTCTTTATTTTGCTACAAAAAATTGTCAAATAAATTAATATGCTTCTTGCGCTTGCCTTATAGTTACGTACGTCACTGTCAGTGCAACCGTTACATAAAAAATGATTCAAATCGATAAACCAGATCACACACTCTAAAGTTTTTTAAGTTTATTATGTTTTAAGTATTCGAATGTTCGTACATTTTTCAAGTACTAAAAGTGATTGAAAACATGGGGTAAGTCCAAACATGATACCGCTAGAGGATTTTGGCCTATGTAAGTTCCAATACTTTTTTGTTCGGGATTGCCATTATAATAATAATAAGTCCTACAATAATACCCGTAGAGGATTGTAGCCCATGTGAGTTCAATACTTTTTCTTCGGGATTGCTATAATAATAATATTAAGTCCGACCATAATACCGGTTGAGGTTTTGGTTGACGATAGATTGAACCTATATAACTTCAATACTTTCTTCTTCGGGATTGCTGTAATAATAATAATGGGTCCGACCATAATACCGGTTGAAGATTCTAACCTATGTAAGTTCAATACTTTTTCGTTCTAGTATTGATCATTATAAAAATAAGAACAAATATTTATATAAGTAAATACAAAGTAATTCAATTTAGTCAGTGAAAAAATACATTTATTCCATTATATGAATATGTAAAAAAATTAATTTTCATTTTCTTTTATTGTTAACTTATTTTTATTTACTCATAAAATAACTTAAGATACAAATTTTTTTTAAGACGTGTTCAAAATTAATATAATGGCATAATATTTTTAATATATGAAAACTAATTACTTGTAGTAAAATGGGAGCATTGAATTTCACGTCTAATATCTCAAGTTTAGTCTAAACATTTCTCTCGTCGTTTACATATAAACAAACTTCTGATTAAAGTAAATTTTTATATCAATTTTATGGCTAATAAATCGACATACACACGTAGAAAAATATTTGCAGTTCTATTTAAAATATATCAGTCGAGCTGCGAAGAATGCAAGCTTTTAAAGTCTCTGTCAGATTGTCTGACTGACATGACAGCTTTCTAGCCTGACTAATTGCTAGTCAGTCGATCACGTGTATTCAATCTAGTTCAGAACATGCGAGAAAGGGAGGGAGGAAAATTAGAATTGATGCGAAAAAGATAGCAATATAGAAAGAGAGTCCCAAAAGTGTACTACGTTAAATTGGAAAACACAAGCCTTAGGGAATATCAATGCTGTGGAGAGTAGAGGGGAGTTGCTGAGTTGTTCAGTTTCAACTATTGTGAAATCGTTAGAATCCCATGCATGGATGAATGAATGAATCTGACCTAGCCGTTGTTTGGAAGATCACTTAAACAGTTGTTGACTTGTTGTTTTCAATGAAATTCAAACTGATTAAAATCGCACAGCATTAGTAACTCATTTCAGACTTGGGGTCGCAAACTAAACTAGTATGTGTCAATGTGTGTGGAGGTATGAGTACAGGCTTAGCGCTAATAGGCGCTGAGCTGATATCGGCAAACAAGTGAACTATTCAGCGATTTTGCAATCAACTTTTTTAATGTGTATCTGCAGTTACATACATGATAAGTTCAGCTGCGAATTGGAAATGCAATTTTAATATTTAGAATTACTTTGATTTTATTATAAAAAAATTAAACAAGCATTAACGTCAGCAGTGCTGAAGGGGTGTGTGGCTAAAAAATAAATTAGAAATTGAATCTCATACTCATTTTAAAATAAAATTTCGGTTTCAATACGCAAAAAATAAAAAATTATTTTTAATTTTTATTGATAATTAATATTTAATTCTATTTTATAGAGAAGTGTCAAAAATGAAGTAATTTTGTAGAAAAATATTAAAGTTTGTTGCATAAAATCTTATTTATAACAATTTAATAAAGACTTTCTTAAAAAAAAATTACCAAGTTAACATAAGGTTAAGAGAAGAAACGTTCAAAAATGAAATAAATTGTTTAAAAATATACAAATAATTTTTATATATATAATATAAACATACCACGTTTAAGAACATAAGGGAAAATAATAATAATTTTGTTATCAAAATGTCTTCATAAAAATATAAATGATTTAATTATTTAAATAAAATAATAAAATTAACAACACCAAAGGAGAATTATTTACTTTATGTGTAACACAAACCAAAACACCAAATATAAAATAAACAAATTTAAATACCGCCTGTAGCGTACTTAGTACTTAGTACCTAGTATCTAGTAATTTAGTTATTTAGTTATTTGGTATTTAAAATAAGCAAAGAAAGAAGCAAAGCGGATAAATTGACGCAAACGGCGTTATTTCAGTTCAGCGGAGAAATGTAATTCGTTCGTGTATGTGGAAGTAGAGTGCAGTTATATTCAAATTTATTTAGCGAAAGCGTCTAGTGGCGACTTTCATTGGAACTTATGTCTGTGAAAATACTGCGTCGCAGAAGTAGTTAGTTTCCAGTATTAATTCATTAGTTCAGTAACAACCAGTTCCAGTCAACAAATCCGAACATGGACATGAAAATTGATGGACATCAAAGCCAGCAGGAGATGAGCACTGGTTCTCCCATGGAGGTGCCAAATGATCCTGGGTAAGTAAGATATATTTATACAGTACTATAGATATAACTACAAATTCAGTTCACAACTTGATTATTTTGACAGATACTTTATAAAAAAAATATGAAAATAGTACATATAGGTATGTATGGATATCAGCAAAATCAATATCAGGTTTTTTTTGTCTATTTGTACTTAAAATTCCATATAATATATACGTATATATATACGTGTATATATATATATATATAATTTATTTAATATCCTTAAATCAAACCTTTTCTTTATTGTTGTTTAAAGAAATTTTTGCTTATAAAAAATAAAAATATATGTTACAAAAAACATATATACATTATACATATATACATTATATTGTATATAGACATCATTTAAATGTTTAAGCAAGAAACCTATTAACATTAAATATATTGAACTTAAACATGTAGATTCGTAAAATGTACACTTATTACATAGTTTTAGATTACATTAGATTTTAAAAGGGTTGGGAACTTGTCACCACGTCACTGCATCCTTTGAGGACTATTGTGACACCTTTACTTTAGTTCGATAGACTAGTAGCAGTTAAGAACTCCATTACGCCCTTCGAAGAGATGTTGCCTAATTTCGCTATAATTGGATAGGCAGTTGACAAGTACCGAAGCCTGACTCTGGCGATCACAGTGACACGGAATGTGTTCTGCTTATTCTTCTTCTTAAGCTATCGTCTCTAGTAATACTTAGGATCGATACATGTTTTTTGACTCCGCAATGCCCAGTGAGAAACCCTGTGACAAGTCAGATGCCACTTCTGTTCAGCAGTAGTAGCTCCCTAGTTCTGGCTTTTGATCGATTCGGCATGGATCTTTACCTTGTCTGCAGGCAATTGTATTATCCCTCTTCCAGCCATTATCTAGTTTTAATTTCGGCATATGCTTGACATCAGTGTTGTTATACAGGATCTCTTTTAAAAAAGCAGTATTCTTAACCTACCGGTATATAAACAGCTTGAATAATCTATTTACCAACAATGATTTTTTTAAAGAGTAATGGAAAATCATTAAGTAAAGAGTTATTTCAGAATATTGTTTGACGTTTATGTGTATGGTATATATTTGTGTTCAAACTAAACAGAGAAGGCTATGTAGCTGCAATCTATCAAAGCTATTGCAGTTACAATCATTACAGAGATCTATCAGAATACAGTAGGTTTAATTATTTTAAGGGAAAAAAGCGCACTAAATAGGTACTTATATGGGTTTAAGAGGCAAGAAATCATTAAGTCGCAATGTGAAATCTCTTAAACTCTATAATAATAAAAACTCAAAATATATGCTCAGTAAAAAATTTGTTACGTTATCAGACATGAAATTTTCATAGCATATTTGTAGCACCTAGAGTAAAGGAGATCCAAAACCATCACCTGCCGATGCATCTTTTAAAATACTTTAAAACCTGAGTGTTGGACGCTTCTTAAAGACTAGTAACATGAATGTGCTGTACTCACCAATGGCAACCAGAGAAAAGCCATGAACAGATGCGAGTCTGAAAGACTAATAGTTTAATAAGATTGTCTTACATGATATATAACCAGAGATATCAACGTATTGTTAAAGCAAGTATTTGATGATTATATTGTCCGTCGAAATAGAGTTGTGTGTAAGCTATTAGGTGTTGTAATTCACCGACGGTAGAGTATTTCTTGTAGGATTGTTTGAAGGTATTAGTTTACATACATTGACTAGGCAATTCATGAGCTATAGTCATAAATATTCGAAAAAGTTATGGAAAACTTATGTTATAACATGCAGTTGCTAATATGAAACACGATAAGAACGGTTTACGGCAGTAATATTACGTTACTGCATATAAATGCAATATAGTCTATTTATCAAATAAAAAAATATTTACTACGTTTGCTTAAATTGTGCTTGAGAAAACTTGGTTGAAATCCTACATCCATTTGAAGCAGTCTATATATTTATGTATATAATACTCAATATTGTTATTGAGTTCGATTTAAGTCTAATTGGTTCAATTTATTCGAGTTTCTTCCATTAAATCTGCTTCATATTCTCCTCGAAGACTTTGCTTCTATGATCTAAGACTTTGTTAGTTATATTTTCTGCATGCTAAGTAAAGTGTGATAATATGTAAAGTGTGACTGAGCCACTTCTATTTTCGAGTCGCTATTTATTAAGTAATTAATGATTGCTTAGCTATGAGCCTTAACTGGATATTAGGTATAGTGTTAGGTTAGAATATTAACTGGATATTAGGTATAGTGTTAGGTTAGAATATTCGTATGCAACAGCGAATACTAACTTTGATAAGTGCTAGAAGATTACCGGGTTTTAACATCGAAAGCGCATTGAATAGGCTTTTTTTTGAGTGGAATGAAAAGTATAGAACTCCATTTCAGGATGAGTTGAACGCTTTAAGTATTTTCTTAAGGGTCTGTGTTGTTATTAATAACTTTTGTAGTGTAATTTCACAGAGTTTTCGTTTGTTATAGAAGTCGTATAGAAGTGATGTCAATGCTATAATGTTCTTGTTAATGTCGGCTTATATTTCTTTTCACCAACTTGTTTTCTTTTCTTGAACTGATTTCACTAGTGAACTTTAGTAATGAAAATTTTTTATTCTGTACACATTGACGACTTTTAGATAATCATATCTGTGAAATTTATAATGTACCATACACTAGAACATAAGATAAGTTAACAACTAATCTTAGTTTAGTTAAACTGGAACAATACAGTCTATGAGGTTTTTCAGCGAAATTGAACTATTAGACAAAGTTTAAACATGTGTTAGATTAGAAGTTTAAAAATTTAGATTTTGAATGCATTGCGTTAAAGACTATATATGCATTAAAAATTATACATTTATGACAGATATCACCTTTTCATTTGATAAGCTTTTTTATCCTATAACACTATCGTAAGACTCTGAAAAATTTTTTGTAATCTAATTGTTTATAATCCGGTGAATAAGGAGGATGGCGCGTGACGACCGCCGGTCTGATGCTAATGGGAATGTCTTTAACATTAAACCTTAAATTTATCCATCATCCATAATAAATGTATGTTACTCAGTACGTTTTGAATATTGTGTGATTATCTTTAATGTATTCAATCAGTAAAAGTCACAAATATAATACTCATGACTTTCTGAAACGATTACACATTCTACGCTTTCTCAGTTTCTCAGTCACAGTTAATTTCATCCAAGTTTCTCTACCTATTTCAATTTATTGTTTTGATTGTTATTTCATATATTGGATATAGTGTTAGATCAAATTACAGTTATGAAATTTCTTTATAAGAGCACATTATATTGCTTCAACCATTTCAAAGCAATTACAGTTTTGTGCTGTAACAATACTTTCTGATTATGAGTATAACATGAAATGCATGATAACTGGAGATACCTCTTGGACATATGCATACAATATACAAAAGATAAGCCGATATTGATAACAACCCACCGAAGTTATTCGCAAATGAAGACCATATTAACAGATTTCTTTAAATATAGTGGTTTGGTGCATTATGAATTCCTTCTGCAACGTTTAAAGTAACTCTCAAATAATATTTCTGTTGACAGTTTGGTTCAGCAGCAGGAATTCATGATGCAACCCACAGAGACTCACTGGTTATTGCACTCAAAACCGTAGAGACTCACTGGTTCTTCGAAACCATTTCGACAGGCGTTTAATCATAGTGTTCCACAACCATCGTATTCGCCTGCTTTAGCGCCGTATGGCTTCTGACTACATTCTAAGCTTAAGACACCGCTCGGAGACAGAGTTTTGATAGAATTGAAGAGATAAAAACCGAATCCATATGCGATTTGAAGGCCATTTCGATAATCGACTTTAACAATTGTTTCTAGGATCGGAGAAAACCTTGGCGGGAGTATTGTTTCGGAAAGGTTATACTTTGAAAGTGATGAAATAGATTCAGAGTGATGAATTAATTATTTTAAAAGGTCACAGTGTTATATTTTGTATACAATATTGGGAATGGTATAAAAAATCGTAAATATTTAGTAATAGGTATGTACATTTTAAATATAAAATAATCAGTTTGCAAAAAAGTATTTTTAAAATCTACTTTTTGTTCACATAAATCGGTTTCCTATTTTGTATTAAGCTTTAGCGACCGTTAAGTTGTCGGAAAATCAATCATCAATCGATCCAATTACAACTTTTCCTCATCCTTCAGCTGCTGTACTTATTATTTGTGAAGAAAATATTTGAAATTTATTTTATTATATTTTTTATCTTTAATATTTCCCTTTCGAGTTACGAGTTTCAAATGTGTAACTTTAGGGCTACAACTATACAATCTTTAACCTTTTGTCCAAATACTTCAGATATTTCAACACATAAACTTTATTTTAGTTATCAGACTTTCTGAATCTAAACTTTAGATTTTTCTATTTGCGAAATCAAAAAGTTATTGCGCCTTTTTGACTTTCGGAAGCAAATTTTTTGAAATACCGCAGAACATGGAAACACAATTAAAGCGAATTGCGTTGCATTGTGGTTTGCACTTGGGTCAGTTTAGTCAATTTAAGATTTTTCACTTTGGATTGAGCACCTCGTCCACTTGAGTGTAACGAATTTAGTAAATAAATTTCTCGTTGTTAATGGATTAACGTTTATCGAAATGAAATTCTCTATTTTAGGAATAAGTGAGTCGCTTTAAATTCTTTCAATTTATCTTTAAGATATTCAGTCGCATTCTCAAATTAAAATGTGGAGTGTTATGGGGGACAACGAGGTGTTGTCTATTCTCTTGATATATAAACAAATGCTACTCATAAGATTTGTTTGTTTTATTACATGTAACTAAATTATATATATATATGAAGCTCAGAGCTATGTAAGTTTTATTTTACAACAATTATATTATATTTTAGTAATATTAAACAGTTGTACTTTTTCCTTTTTCGTATTATATATAAAATATTATTTTATTTGCAATATGTTTTTACATAAATAAATCAGTTTTCTGACAGAAGACAG